GGGGGGGGGGGGGGGGGGGGGGTAAACCCCACGACTGTGAAACTCAGGTAAAATTGAAGTATGCTGTAAATTTTGACATATGAGGTAAAATTTGTGTAAAAAAGTTGTTATATTTGTGAAATGATGACCATTTGACATCCGACACCCCCCTCCCAAACTTCAGACGCTTTGCTACATTCCTGAAAATCAGTGCAATCACCATACAACACTGACCCTTGCAGTTGCGAGGATATATATATATATATAGCGCATTGAACCACAGCAACTATCATGCGAACTTGCATTATACCTCAAGCAACAACGGTAGTGGTAATAAACGAAGACAACGAAACATAATTTGGTTCAATCCACCGTTCAGCAAGAACGTAAGAACAAACGTGGGCAAGATCTTCCTCAATCTAATTGACAAACATTTCCCACCCTCCAATTGCCTTCATAAGATATTTAATCGCAACTCGGTGAAAGTCAGTTACAGCTGCATGGATAATTGCAAGAGTATAATTTCTAAGCATAACACCAGAATACTATCAAAACCGAAATCGACAACCCAAACATCATCATCAACATACAGCGCCACATGCAATTGTAATAATAGCAACGAATGTCCTCTTCAAAAGAAATGCCTATTAGACTGCCTAGTTTATAAAGCAGAGGTGGTAACCAACAATTCGGAACCTAAAGAATACATTGGCATGACGGGAAACACCTTTAAGACACGGTTATATAACCACAATAAATCTTTCAATAATGTTATATACAGGAACAATACGGAGCTCTCAAAATACGTGTGGAACTTAAAGGAAAAGCAGCAGGACTTCACAATTAATTGGTCTATCCTAAAACGAGCAGCCTCGTATTCCAGCGGTGGAAAGAGATGTAACCTTTGCCTCCAAGAGAAACTTTGCATTCTAAAAGCGGATAAGTCAAACTTGCTAAATAGAAGACGCGAGTTGTTCTCGAAGTGGGTTCACCAAAAACGATTCTTGGCCGAAAAGTTTGAACGTGCGCAAGCTCAATCACGCACGCAAACTCAGTCACGCAAGCAGCACAACGGATATCAACGTCACCAAGCAGGAAAAGTTAGTTGAACATACATCGTCGCCTGAAGATCGTGAAAACGTGACTTGCGACTTAATTAATTTTAAGTAGAAAAGACAACAATTATATATATATATATATATATACGTTATATCATACTGAAAACAATTGTTAATAGAAAACAATTGTTTTCTGTTAACTATATGGTTATATGCATGGCAACAAGTCGTTGACAACGGTAACTCCGCTGCAAAAAATCCCTGAGTAATTCTGCTTCAAAAAACGTAGCCAAATAATGCACTCACGGCAGTGACTCAAAATTCTGAGTAAAATTACTAATTACAAGCTTATGAGGAAATCTATAGTATTTACTTATTTTCAATTTTCCTTCAATTTTTTGAGTAATGCACATATTATGTCAGTTAAGTCTCAGACACATCGGATGCGATTCGACAACCCGGCGCTATTTTTCCATTTTCACTGACCGATCACTTTGATCCTGATTTTAGTTTTCCAGATATTTAGAAAAGCGCTATAACAGTCTACACATCTTTTAAAATTTCCTTTCATTGGCTGTTGTATATAAATTTTCAAAAACTCGAAAATCGCGCCGTGTTGTTGAATCGCGTCCGCTGTGTCTCGGCCTTTAGTTAAGGGTAGAAACGGATATGGATGCTATCGTTTTTGAAAAGTTAGGTTTAAGGCTGATTGAGCATATTTGAACAATCTAGTATATGAAAACAGCTTGCCACCTATGTTTATTGCAAATGACTGGGATTTTATTCTCACTCATATTCTCGTTGATTTCTAGAGCGAACAAAATCACAAGACAGAAGAAATTGCAAATAATGACAATAATTCAGTAAGCCTGTACTCCTCAACTTATAGGATCCTGGCTGGGCATATTATTTACGGGTTTATATTAGAGCAAGTATTAAGATTTTGGGCATCTCGCTCGATATAACCAACAGTTGCATGAAGGTTTTTTGTTGATTGAAAATTTGAGCTGCTCCTGGTTATTTCTCGAAGTTTCCATCTACAATTTTAAAAACCCCTTTAACTGCATGTTAGTTATATTGAGGAATGCTCAAACACTTGATGTTTCCCAATATCTTTTACTCACCATCATGCACCTAATATATAGCATACAAAAACTTGTAGTTAATACTTGTCAACTGGACTCTGTAGCTCAGTTGGTTAGAGCGCTGTACTGGAATCGCAGGGCTCGATAGGTCTAAAACTTCGATATAATTGTCCGCTCGAAATTTCCATAAAAAAACAAAACAAATTCAATTTATATGTGTGCAGTTTGTCAAAGACGCAATTACTTGTAACTGAACTTGGTAAATGAATATGCATATGTTTTTTTGTGATTTGCTTGGTTAAACTAAAGTATTCCGTGTTCTGACGCTTTAGAAAATTCAGTCTTCAGTTTTATTTTGTTTTATTGCTATAATTAATCAATTACAAAATCTGTTCATTTTCAAGTTGGTGGTCGAATAGCTATATTGTATATGTGAAAGTTTGCATTTCAGAAAATAAAAACAAATCTTTTCTAGATACCATTGTTAACAGTTCCTAAAGATATAACAATTGGCCCGGATGAATGGATAAGCAGGACTACAGTTGATTCAAAGGTACAATGATGAATGATTGTTATACTGATTGTCTCGCGTAGTTACGTATCGGGTGCCATTGTTTTTCTTGAAGATTTAACAATTATTCGGCGAAGTGATTACCGGTGAATATTCACCGAGACGAAGTCGAGGTGAATATTCACCGTAATCACTGAGCCTGAGGCGAATAATTGTTTTAGTATAAATTTTTAATGAATAAAACAAAATATCCAAGTTATCCAACTATAAGTTTAATTAAAATTCAGAAATAAAACTGTTTTCGACCGGTTTACGGTTTTAATAGTGTTGCAGTGTTTCTTGTACACACACGCTTTCAAAATGGCTTCCTGTGCGACTTTGTTGCTTTATTACAAAGTTATTTTTCTCGATTTCTGCTTAGAATATAAACACAATGATGGAATGACTTTTTTACCAGACATAGAATTAAAAAATAGTTTCTGTTTAGCATTAATTTGTTCAGGAAATGGCTGAGAAATTTGGTAAAATGAAATGTAAAACTATATCGTTCGAATTAATATAAAAGTTTTAATACACTTTTCACTTTACAAGTTTTAAAAACACAAATAGTACAATACAGCGAAAGGACACCATACAGCACAATGAAAACACGACATAGTCAAAAGAAATAGTATCGTACAAATTGAGATATTTATAGGGAACAAAACAAAATTGTTTTAAAAAGAATACCACGGCTTTTCCCAAAAGTCGGGATATTTTTTGCTATTTCAGATTTACGTTTGAAGCGAATGTTTCGGAGTTTTAAATAAGTTTTAAATTGTCCGTGAATATGTTTGACACAGTAATATAATACTAAATCCTACCTTTCAAGTTAAATACAACATTTTGTGCTTTTTTTTCTTTTTCTGGGACGATTTTTTCAATATTTTGTCGATTTTGAAACCAAATTTGCCGAATCATTCTTTTTAAAAAGCATTATTTACTACCCAGGTGGTAAATAATGCCTCAGATTTACTAGTCAACTAGCCAATCAGAACGCGCGAAAGCTCATTTGATATGCAAAATTTATACTAAATATATATATATATATATATATATATATATATATATATATATATATATATATATATATATATATATATATATATATATCGTGTTTTCATTGTCCTGTGTATGGCGTCTTGACGCTGTATTGTACTACTGCGTTTTTAGTGTGAAGTTTCACTTCACACTATTGTGATGGCTGGCGAATTCACACGAATCAGTCAAACAGTCAGTCAGTCATAGAGTAAACTTTCCGGGGGGTGTATACTATTTATGTTCGTAGTGATTTATTGTACTTAGTCAGTACTTTGAAGGTTATTTAGGCAATTTCAGTTAACTTATTTACATATTCTGTTATCCTTTTGCCAAGTTCACAAAAATTTCGAGGAATCGCTTTCGTTATTGTAATTTTTTGTAAATTTTAGAACATTCGCTTCTCATGTTGTGTAAAGGATCTTTACCCCGGAACACCCGATTTTTTCTTTAGTAGCGCAAATGCGCATGCGCTATCAAGCCGTAGATCACGATGGCGTGACGATATGCTAGGAAAGGGTGACAGTGTTGTTTTCAGATGTATAAAGATTTCAGACGTGAATATTGAGTAAATCTTTGAAAATATACGCATTATATAAATTAATCTTATGCATTACGGGCGTTCAATTAAGTGCCAATAATATTTAGACGGTATATTCATTATACAGAGCTAGGAAGGAGCTAGACCGCCTAGACAGTGCAGTCAAGTGTGTAAACATTTCAGACGTAAATATTGAGTCGAATATCTTGATTCTAGGCATTCATTTGAGTGCCGATATTATTTTCACGGTATTCTCATTATACAGAGGTACAGTACGTAGGCAGAAACGAGACAGTGTTGTTTTCAAGTATATAAAGATTTCAGACGTGAATATTGAGTAAATCTTTGAAAATCTACACAATATATAAATTGATCTTATGCATTACGGGCGTTCAATTTAATAAGTGCCAATAATATTTAGACGGTATATTCATTATACAGAGCTAGGAAGGAGCTAGACCGCCTAGACAGTGCAGTTAAGTGTATAAACATTTCAGACGTAAATATTGAGTCGAAAATCTTGCTTTTAGGCATTCAATTGAGTGCCGATATTATTTTTTCACGGCATACTCATTATACAGAGGTACAGCACGTGCAGGCAGAAGCGAGACAGTGTTGTTTTCAAGTATATAAACATTTCAGACATGATTCAATATTGAGAAAATCTTTGAGATTCTACGCAATAATAGTAATACAATATATAAATTGATGTTATGCATTACCGTCGATATTATTTAGACCGTGTATTCATTATTGTATAAGGTGCTACATCACAGAATAGATGGCTATACTCAGTACAAAGAGCGAAAAATTGCATCAGATTTGTATCAGATCAATAAAGCATAAACAACAATTAAACAGAAGCGGGTAAACGTTTGTACGGCGTTTACGAAGAAAAAAACTTACGAGACGAAAGGAATCAGTTGAGTCAGAGCTCCTTGTATAAATAAGAAAGACGAGGAGATAGCCAACGTGTTTAGGTGTTATCGCCAATGTGTTATCGCTAATCGCTTAATTGGCTCGCCAACAAGCTTTATGCAATAGAAGAAAAAAGCAAGGAGGTACATGTAGCCAACGTGTACATTCACAGACCTTGTCCTTGTCTTTGTTTACTGTCTAGTGTCTAGTACAACGCCGTTGTCAACGGTGCAAACTCGTATTCAGTGCAACGATAACTCTACCAGATCTTACGAGAATCAATTTGTAGTATTCTGTACACAGAACTGTATCAAAGCTTGCCAAAAATGTTTTAAACTGCTATATAAACTGTGAAACTATTGAAATCTAAAGTGATATTTATATTCAACACATGCGAAAAGCTGAAAATAGACACATGTCACACTGGGAAAAGTCAAAGGTCAATGAAACTTGTTATTGTGAAACATGTCACAATTAAGTTAAAATGCGGAAGCGGATGGAACGGATCCACGGAACGGATATGCGGATAAAATACGGAACGGATGAGGATAAAATGCGTCTTTTAATGATGTAACGACGTAGTGCTTAATATTCATAACATATCTTGTACAGCTATTTCAATTATAGTTTATTAGATAAATTTAGCATAGCAGTAGCCTTGTGGGGATGCTTTCAGCGACAGCTGCAAATGCAAATGAAAATTTAGAATATGCAAAATTTGGTTGTTGGTGACACAATAAATAGATGAATTGCATCAGTTTCACAAGGCACGTTTCTGATGTGTTAGGCTTGTTTCAAACGTCACACTACTCGTGTGCCGAGCGTATTAAAAGCAATAAATAATGAGATGAAATGCCTTTGGTAACTGTTTATTTCGTAGTGTAAGTCATCAAGCTTATCTAGGTTGTCGGCGACCCTATATAGTTCTTGCAGTGTCTTTTTAAATTTGAAACTTCACACTATCCTTGGATCCCTAGTTATTAATACACACACTGTGGAAGATAGACATGGTTAGGATGCTCAACAAATTGTTTTTCCGTACAATGATGTGATTACCCAATATAAGGGGGTAATGGTCTATCAAACTGAAGGTGTTTGGTTAGTGTATAGTCTCTTCATAGTCGTTATTGTAAAATCTAAACTGACATTAATTAGACTACTTACTGAAGGATCAACCATAAAAATCAATGGTTCCCCAGTGTAGATATTGGTTGTGGCGAAGTCTTGTGCAACTGCATCTTCTTCGTTGAAAAACCCAAATGGCAAGCAAAACCTTGAACCCAAATTCTCCCAAATCGAAGACCGCACTCCATAACTGATGGTATAGTGTGGTGGGATCAACTTCAATTGTTGGGAAATAGCAAATTGGAAATTTGAAGCCTGTAGAACCAATAAACATGAACTGGAGAAGGTGAGTCGCTATAGCTGCTTCATCTTTACCTGCAATATTGAAAAGATCATATACAGCATATAAACAAACTTCCAGACAAAAGTATTTTTTTATCTCTCAATTCATACTTAAATTAAGCAGGCTGAAGCTAATTGTATTTACCTGTTTCCAATACTTTCATATCTTCATGAAGATCTCCAAGGTTTACTACACCCAATATTTTGCATAAAATCACCTGAACAGACTTTTCATCAAATGTGATGTAACCACAATGACCTGCTGGAGATATATTCTGGATCTCAGCTTGCTGCTTCATGTATCTCAACATGTGTATGTTTCTGTCTGGTTTCTAAATAATAAAATACAAAATTAATATATAACAAAATAATATATTAAGGAGGCTCTGTGCAGTTGTCGTCAGGTTTGATGTTTGTCTGAGTGGGGTTTAATTTTTTGTGTATTTGTATAAATAGCAACTGACTGTGGAATGTTAGGAATGTCTGAGATTAAACTTTTGTTTGTCTGAGTTTTTGATAATAAATAGTAAATTTGCAAAGCAAAAAAAAACTTTAATATATCTATATATCTCTATCTCTATCTCTATCTATATCTCTATCTCTATCTCTATCTATATCTATATCTATATATATATATATATATCTATATCTATATCTATATCTATATATATATATTTATATATATCTATATATATCTATATCTATATATATCTATATATATATATATATATCTATATATATCTACAGGGTGTATCAAAAAAAGCGCAATCCTCGACTGAAATGTAAATTGCTAAACAAATAATAGACGAAAACGTTAAAGTTTACATTCATTTTAAAGCGTAGCCATTCAGCTTTCTAACAGTGGGTTGCTTCTTAAATTTGACTCATTGGTTCGCGGATAATAATACTTTACGTTATTGCGATTGGAGATTAAAACAATTGAGATGGAATAACAAATCGTTCTCATGAAAATAACTGAAATTTTTCATTAAAACAAACAAATGTTGCATTTTATTAAATGGATTGTAACAATAAGTATAATTACGGCTTTTCTTCCACTATTTTTAACTCAGTTTGAAACTTCAAATGCGATATAATTTTGGGTTGGACCATCTAAGCTGACTGACATCAACTTGCTATAATTTCTGTTTACATATTACATCGCAATTCGATGACACTCTGGCTCAGACACCAGAATGTTTTGACGATTTTTAGCATTCGTTTAGGATTTTCAAACAACCTGCATGGTCTCTTTTAAAATACTTTTAATTTGTTCTTCGTGGTTTTCCAGATGTAGTGACGACAACATTAAAGTTTAAAGAAGAAAATTCTAACATTTAAACCGACTAAACAATAACATAGTAAACTTGCATAATTAAACAGCAACTAAAAATGATAGGTTTTACTAAATCATTTCCTGTGCAATTATTACTAGCATTGGAGACAAGGATAATAGTTTGTTTGAAAGAGAAAAGAACAGGCTTTGAAGTAAGCCTAAAAGTGTTCAACTAGAAATAGTATTTCGAAAGTTATTAAGCACAAAAGATGAATTGCGTTTATTTTGATACACCCTGTATATCTATATCTATC